TTTTGCACAGGAATGGTTACAATGCTTGACCATGGAACTGACAACCAAGTGATGTGGCATAATGAAAAGTTAATAGGCTGAGCAGGTTGTAAGTTAAAATGGAGTTAAAAGACTAGGAGCTGGGATATTAGAGTAACTGAGGTAAAATCTACGTGCTATTGTCAGAGTTAGTTTGCCACACGGGTCAGTTTGCATGTTGCTGAAAGCTATATGACCAGTATTTCAAATGCCAAAGGGTCACCCACTCAGCAGAGATTCAATTCTATGACAGACAGGAAGAAGACCTAGAAATCTACTTCTGAAAACACTGACCCATGAAAACTTTATGAATAGTTGTAGAACGTTGTCAATCATCAATCTGTCAATGAAAAATTGAAAATAATGTCAAATTAGAGATATATGTAATATAGATATTCAGATCTATCATGAAGTAGAATACTATAATACTGCCAGGGTTAATATTTATATGCCTACAGAGAAGACAAGCTAATGCAACTATTATTCAAATGTGTGCATCAGCCACTAATGGCAAAGATGGAGAAAGTGGAGATTTTTTTTTAACCAACTTTGCAGTTTGAAATGAATAAAGAAAGTAACCAAGATGTACTGATAATTACTGATGACTGCAATGTGAAACAAGGAAAGAAGTGAGCAGGGACAATTACTGCAGAGTCACATGATAGAATCTTGAAAGCTCCCCGCTTATCGATTACCAACACCCTTCCAGCACCACAAATGGTGACTAGATAAAAGGACTTTAAAAGTCATAGAGAAATTCCATTATATTTTCATTCTACTTCTTCACAGAATTCTGAAACCTCCCCCACCCTTACATGTATTCTTCACTATATTTGCTTATGCACCTGCTTTTTCAGCGATCGTGTCAGGAAGGTGAGCATCATGGAATGCCAGGTAAATAGAACAAAGTGTTCTTGCGTTGAGGAAGTACTTGAGTAGAGGCCCAATGTCCACCCGCTCCCTTTACGACAGGGGTAATAGATCTAAGGACATATATTTATAGGTTTAGTATTAAGGTAGTATTAAGTATTAAGGTTTGGCCTATTTTCAATATAAACATATTCGTATAGTCACATTCCCTCTGGCAAACTTGTTTACTTTGTGTTTGATCTGTATCCTGCACCTGACTCAGATCTCTGGTGTCCCAGACTTGAAACAACAGACTGCCATAATGCCTGCCAATCATGAGAGTCCTCAGCAAGCTGTCATCTGACCTGCTGACTTTGGATTGCTGTCATCTACAGTCATAAGCCTGGCCTCCTGACCATGTATTCATTCTCCTCCGCAGTCACCACCTTTTGTCTCCTTATCAACTCCCACAGCTGACATTTCTAGTCAAGAGAAGTCTCCAGCATCACTGTTTTTGCTTCTATGATGGAGTCATCTAAGATAACAGACTAGAGAGAAACAGCTCTCCAGTTCTGAAAGATTAGCAACGGATGAAATCAAGAATATCATGCAAGAAAAAAGCAAAAGGTCATTAACAAGACAGGAAAGAAAGACTAACGTGGATGTGAGAAAAGACTCTGAAACTTGCTTTTAAATACAGACTAGCTAAAGAAAAAGGAGGAAAGGATGAAAGAAAAGAGGTAAATAGACAATCCCAAAGGGGAGCTTGGGAGGGCAAATCGGATTTTACAATACGCAAAGGCCAGGCGTTAGCAAGCCAGGAGGGGGAATACACCCCGGGCTTTTCAAGCTGAAAAAAAATGGAGAAAAAAAGTTCACCCTCAAATCTACTGGTTATGATTTGGGTTGTCAGAACTGGAAGTTCAGCAGTTCAAAACCACCAGCTGCTCGAGGGAGAAAAGCGGGGGCTGCTAGCACAGAACTACAGTCTTGGACACTCACAGGGTCGCTGTGATTTGGCCTGGACTCCATGGCGGTGAGTTTTGAAGTTACAGACAGACTGTGTCCTAGAAGCAAGGAGAAAGCAAGGCTCTCTCTCACGCACTTTGGGCACGTCGTCAGGAAGAACCAGCCCCCGACGAGGACAGCACACGTGCCGAGTAGAGGGTCAGCAAACAGAGCGAGACCCTCAGTCAGACGGACTGACGCAGCGGCAGCCACAGGGGACTCCAACATCGGGACGTCGTGAAGATGGCACAGGCCTGGCGATGCTGCGCTATATGCTACAGAATGGGCTCAAAGGCACCGAACGACACAGTATCTACAAAGGAAACGGATTTGGAAAGGGTTCGAATGTAGTGAGGGTTTTGTGTGTGTGTGTTTGCGGGGGGAGGGCAGCAGTTATAAGAGGAGTCTATCAGATGCATTATTTTCTTTATTTATATAAGTGTAGGTTTCTAACTTCTTAAAATGTGTAAGCCTAGCATGCAAGGTTAGCATATGTAAGGTAGCACTAAAATTTAGTGTAGCACTAAAATATGCAAGGTGAGTATGCCTATAGTATTATCCCATTTATTACTACATTAGAAACTGGCAAACATTTTCCCCTGAAAAATGATGTTTAATAATTAGTGAAAAAATGATAGTGGCTTTACAGGGCACAGGAAAAGACAGGTGCAATTAGTTTGAAATTTAGGGGGCAATTAGTTAATTTGAAAAGTTCTTCTCATAACTATTTATTCTATGTATTAAAAAATTCACCCATTATGGAATTGAATCTCTGGTTGACCCATGTGTTATAGAGTGCAGCTGCTTCACAGGCATTTTTTTTTTTTTGGCTGTCATCTTAATGGAAGATCATGTCTTCCCTCAGCAATAGTGCTGCATGATTTTAAACTGCCAACCTTTCACTAGGGATTAAGCAAAAACCATCTGTGTTTCCCATAGACCTGTGGTTATCTATATGGATCATAAAAAGCAAGGTTTTTCCAACATTCTCTAAAAGAAAAGAAAATAGTCAAGCCTAAATTGCCAAGGGATTAAATCCCTCGCCAATGGATTAAAAATTCTTCTTTATCCATTCATTCATTCACTCATTCATTCAGAATGTGCTCTCCCCCTTAGCCAAGAACTCAGCGAAGAGTGGGCTTTGCATAGCTAACCACTGAGGGTGTATCTGCCTTTTACTCAACTGGTCAGTGTGTTTTAAAATACTCATCGGTTTATTATTATCTTGGAGTGAAAAGGATTCATTCTGAGAATACACAAGAGAAGTCAAATAAACAGAAGCTTAATAAATTCACAGTCAGGGGGAAATTAAAATGGCACATTTAATAAAAAAGACCTGAGATCTTCTCCTGTTAAAACTATAATTACCTTTTGCGATGCATGGGATTGAAGAGTATGACTTTGCTTAAATTAATTGACTATTATTCTCACCTCTCAGAATTAATTTTCTACCCTATAATTTCTTTTTAATTCTCTGGAAGAAAAAAAATGTTATGTGCCTGTCATATTTTAAATATGTGTTGTGCTCACCATTAGAGGTGATGCTTAATATAGCTAAAACATGAGTTAATTATATTCTGGGTGAACCGTAGTCTTCCAGCTATTTTACAGTGGCTTTCAACTGTGGACAATACGTTCCTAGGTAGATCTAACTCAGTACTTCCATTCTGTGAGCTATGAGATATTCTTCACATACCTGATCTTGGATTCTTACATTGACGCTGCCATGCAGGCGGATTAATCTTCAGATCATTTTAGAGAGTAGGGAAACAGAACTTCAAAGAAGTTAGAAAACACATATGAGATCACACCGTGCTGGAGGATTTAAGTACCTTCCCCATGAAAATGGAACCTCTGGACTAGAGGTTGTCCCAGAGAAGTCCGCTGCCACACGGTCTCAAGGTCTGTGCTTTTTCCATTCTTCAACATGCCAATGGACTCATGGCAGGGACTCAGGGGCAGTTAAGTTTGGTTTTGGAGCATAAATTACTTGTTCACAGTCTTAGAACCTTTCTATTCTAGTTATCCATCTAGCCAAATGCTTCCTTGGTCACGGCTAGGCATCGCATGCCATTTAGAACTTAAATGGCTAGTCACAGCCCATATAATTGCACTGCTAATAGTTTCTAACATTTATGGACTAATTAAAAGCAATCAGGCATGTAAAAGACATCATACGAGCACAACCTTGTGATTAAGGCCCCCAAGCTTAGTCAAGGAATTTGTCAACAATGATCATACTGTACATTTTCAAGGGTTCTGAACTCACTTGTAGGTTTGCCGTTCTGGACTCTAAACTCAAATTGTATAACCTGAGACAATTTATCTCAATGTAAGTTTTATTTTATTATGAATATATAAATGTAGAGTGAATGGTGGGGTGCTGCTACAGTTACGATTGTTTTGCTTACTTTCATAATTTGAGATCTAGATATTTCGTTTAGGTTTCTGCAACATGTCTAAAATTTAAATAACCTTTAAATTTGTAGGTGATTTTAGGGAAACTAAGCCCAAGCCCTCTAGATGTCCTATTGATACATGATCTTGTCCTTGCTTCTTACAAAACTTTTTCACTGACCAGTATTACTCGTTCTCTCTGAAATCTGACCATAATAAATATTCATTTTGGGGTGAGTTTATTTAATCAAACACAGAGATACGAAGATAAAATTATAGTTCCTTACATAGAAAGACCTGGTGGCTCTGTTTGGGTAAGTGTTGAGTTGCTAACCACCGGGTTGATGGTTGAAACCCACCCGTTGCTCCTTGTGAGAGAGATGAGGCTTCCTCGACATAGGGTCACTATGCGTTGGAATCCACTCAATGGCAGATGAGTTTGATTTGGGGGCATACATTCCTTGTTTACTGTCTTTCAATCTTTCTGTCCCAGTTGCCCAGTTATCTAAATGGGCACGTTTGGTCCCCACTGAGCATCGCACCACATTTAGGAAGGGACAGCTTGTCACAAACCATGACTGCTACATAGTTGATGGTAACTATGAATTTGCTTTAAGATTAAATGAATGCAAACATCTCATCCTCACTTCTCACACACATAACCCGAGCCAAGTATTCTCACATTTGCCTTCAGGTCAACGACGGAGTTGGGTTTCTCAGAGACTCACCTGAAAAGGGTCTGGACGTTAACAATTGTTTTGGCATCTGCCATGTAGTCTTCCTCGGCACTCATGGTACTTTCCTTATCCACCACAACCATGTTGGCAGCAAAAGTCACTCCGCACCTGAGGAGATCATCTAGGCTTTTAATGAAAATAAGCAGAGAATAAAAAACTTACCCTAAATCACAAACTCAGCATCAGTATTACATGTTGCACTTCCCCTGAGCCTGCCGGTTACAAGTGATTTTGTGCAGAGCGTACAGGTAGCTATTAGGAGAATGGTAATATATATCCTCTTCTCATATGAAATAAATGATATATTGGGGCTCTTTATATAGAATTAGATTTCAATTGAAAGCACATGTATTATAGGTTCTTAAAATCAATATGTATTCATTATTTAAATGAAAGAGATAACATTCATTTTATAATTAAATAGAAATAAAACCTGTTTTGGTCTTTTCTTTAACCATTAACCCACTAGTTCAAGATTCCACATCTACTTTTTTTATTCCTGAGATAATGTAGTAAGAGTAAAGATGAATACTGTTTCTATTAATTTTGATAGTTAAGTCTAATAAAGAGTTATTCCCATGAAATAACTTATATTTACATGCCTGGTAGTTCTTTACATTGGAACCATGTTTTGGATTACTTACACAGAGCCATGAGCATAGGAAGTATTATATATCTGCTGTACGCAAGCCTACATTCTAGTCAGCCAACAGTTTTAGAGCATGAGTTAGAATAATCTGATTTATTTGACTGCATTAAGTAACTGTTAATTTCAGGTATAAATTCTTAAGAACAATAACAGAGTCAGCTTTCTCTTCTGTCATTGATTAAACTATTACCTTTCATCCTCCAAATACAACTTGTTTTCAGTTATCAATAAAGTCGATGAAGGAAAATTACTACTTTCATTGTCTCTGCTTCATACAAAGTAGGAAAATAGTACTGAATTGTCTGAGGGAGATTGGAATTGTGGAGTGCAAGAATACTCCAGGCATAAAATTGATTGAGGACAAATAAGAGGAGATGACTAAATTGATTCCCACATCTTTTGATTCAAAATTTGAAGTGGAAAACTTAGAGAATTTTCTTTCTTTCTAGATTTTAAGTTAAAATGTCAGGTAACTGAAGAGCTTTGCAAGGTGCATGATTGGCTGCATGAACCATATCACATTAGAGGAAATTATTTTCTTTTATAGGAAGGTAGAAGGCCACCTTTGAACTCTGTTATGATATGAGAACGACCATTGCCAAAACTTTGAGCCCAGGATCCCCAGAAGTAGCGCAGAAAAAAAACATTTCACTGGAATCAGAAGCAATATTCTGTGGCAGAGATTTTATGGCTAAAACTGTGGAAACAGCATGTCATTCCAAATAAATAGCTTTTCCTGAGAAAGGCCAGATCTGTAATTTTGAACCAACACAATTGCCTTTAAGTTAATCGCTATAGGCAGTCCAGTTTTCCTTTGGTCTCAAAAATTCAGAATTGCTCTGACATCCATAAAAATACAATTTTTAAAAGGAAGAGGTAGATGGAAACTGAATTTGATATTTTTCCCTATGGACCACAAAAATGATGACTAAGTCCTATAATTTCAGA